CTCACAGATACCTATGTATCAGCTGAACTTGCTATTGGAAGTAGTTAGATTATTTAAGAAATTTTGTGAATCAATAAAAAGTGGGGGAAAAAGGAATAGAAAAGAACTGTGGACACCTGAGATAGTGTGGGAGGAGGGTGGGAAATGGCAGAGGGTGAGAAATAGGGGGAAAATATATTTTCATATATATATATCTTTTCACACACACGCACACACACACACACACACATATATATATATAAAACTAAAAATGGAAAATTATTGACAATAACATGTATGATTAAGCCACTATGCAATGAATTCTGGATGGGAAATCACATTTTGTATGCTGTGACAATGCTCAGGAAATAAATGTAAATTAATTAATTAAAAAATTAAAAAATTGGGATCAGCAGATGGCGTAATGGCTAAGATGCTAGAATCCCAATTCACCCACCGACCGCGGTTCGAGGCCTGGACCCGGTGGCTTAAACTCACGCCGGGCGTGTGTGCGTGCGTGCCCAAGATCCCGAGCGAAGAATGGAGGAGAAGGGGTTGCGGTGTGGCCATCCCCCTCGGGGGGGGCGGTGATTTCTCGCTTCTTGTCCCTCTGTCTCTGTCTTTCTGGCAAGTGCACGTGTCCTATAGCAAAAAACCTCTCCCCCCCCAAAAAATAATAATAACATAAAAAAGAGAAAGAAACCAATGAAATACATATGGGTTGCACGTGCGCGTGCGTATGTGTGTGTGTATATATGTATGTATGTGTGTGTGTGTGTGTGTGTGTGTGTGTATATAGTGCCATAGGATACATGCAATTTCCACAAAGAGACAGAAAGGCGTGCACAGAGACAGAGAAAGCAAGCACCCTCAGCAGGGCACAGTCAACGTCGCGATTCCTTCTCCTCCGTCTCTCCAGCCTGTTGGGATTTCGGGCATGCGTGCACATGTGCCCGGTGTGTACCTCAAGCCACCAAGCTGGGACTCAAACTGTGACGAGCCACTGAGACCCAGCTCCTTAGCTAGGCTACGGGGCCGCCCTAGTTCATAATGCCGAAACACTCGCCCCTTTACTCTCCTTTTCTAATAAACCGAATCTTCGGGTAACCAAAAAATTTGATACGGAGATTCTTTCTTCTTATTTTTTGAAAGCATTTCAGCTACGACGTCAAGAAAAAATGAAGATATTTGTCTATCCCGTTTCTGTGATCCCTAATGAAACAACAGCTCGTAGGAGGACGGCTGAGGGGTGCTTGTATCATAGTTAGAGACAGCAAAGGTTTGTGTCTCCGGGTGGAAACACACACCATCTTGGAAGTAATATTAAAAAAAAATGATCAAACCCCAAATTATCAATCAGATCCGCCTCTAGCTCTAAGTTTCAATTTACTGCGAATATAGTGTTCAGGAGAAAGTTAAATGACCCTACAGGGATGCAATCAGCAAAATGTAGACTGTGGAAAATTCTATAGGACAAATGACTACGTTTCTTCAAATAAATTGCCAAGAAAAAAGAAAGAGAGAGTTCTATAGATCAACAGAGACCTAAAATGACCCCGACAGATTGCAACTGTGTGAACTTCATTTAGATCCTGAAGCCAACAGACCAACTAGGAACAGAAATTATATGGTAATCAAGGAAATTTGAAGGCCGACTGGACAGCTAATGATATTGAAGAGACTGCTGATATTTTTAGGCATGATAATAATAATGTGGTTATTGTGGGGGTTTTTTTGTTCATTTTAGTTATTTATTTATTGAGAGATTTTTGTTATAGGGTGCGTGCACTCACCAGAGAGACAGAAAGTGAGATATATCACCCCTCCGCTGAGATATATCACCCCCCCCCCCCTGGGGGGGGGTGGGGGGGGCCCCACCCCAATCCCTTCCCCCTACATATGGGTTGCACGTGCGCGTGCGTATGTGTGTGTGTATATATGTATGTATGTGTGTGTGTGTGTGTGTGTGTGTGTGTATATAGTGCCATAGGATACATGCAATTTCCACAAAGAGACAGAAAGGCGTGCACAGAGACAGAGAAAGCAAGCACCCTCAGCAGGGCACAGTCAACGTCGCGATTCCTTCTCCTCCGTCTCTCCAGCCTGTTGGGATTTCGGGCATGCGTGCACATGTGCCCGGTGTGTACCTCAAGCCACCAAGCTGGGACTCAAACTGTGACGAGCCACTGAGACCCAGCTCCTTAGCTAGGCTACGGGGCCGCCCTAGTTCATAATGCCGAAACACTCGCCCCTTTACTCTCCTTTTCTAATAAACCGAATCTTCGGGTAACCAAAAAATTTGATACGGAGATTCTTTCTTCTTATTTTTTGAAAGCATTTCAGCTACGACGTCAAGAAAAAATGAAGATATTTGTCTATCCCGTTTCTGTGATCCCTAATGAAACAACAGCTCGTAGGAGGACGGCTGAGGGGTGCTTGTATCATAGTTAGAGACAGCAAAGGTTTGTGTCTCCGGGTGGAAACACACACCATCTTGGAAGTAATATTAAAAAAAAATGATCAAACCCCAAATTATCAATCAGATCCGCCTCTAGCTCTAAGTTTCAATTTACTGCGAATATAGTGTTCAGGAGAAAGTTAAATGACCCTACAGGGATGCAATCAGCAAAATGTAGACTGTGGAAAATTCTATAGGACAAATGACTACGTTTCTTCAAATAAATTGCCAAGAAAAAAGAAAGAGAGAGTTCTATAGATCAACAGAGACCTAAAATGACCCCGACAGATTGCAACTGTGTGAACTTCATTTAGATCCTGAAGCCAACAGACCAACTAGGAACAGAAATTATATGGTAATCAAGGAAATTTGAAGGCCGACTGGACAGCTAATGATATTGAAGAGACTGCTGATATTTTTAGGCATGATAATAATAATGTGGTTATTGTGGGGGTTTTTTTGTTCATTTTAGTTATTTATTTATTGAGAGATTTTTGTTATAGGGTGCGTGCACTCACCAGAGAGACAGAAAGTGAGATATATCACCCCTCCGCTGAGATATATCACCCCCCCCCCACTGGGGGGTGGTGGTGGTGGCCACATCTCAATCCCTTCTCCTCCACTCTCCTCTTGAGTTTTTGGGCATACATGCACATGCACCTGGCATGAGTTTCAAGCCACTGGGTCCAGGACTCAAACCTTGGTTGGCCATGTGGGGGATCCAGCGACGTAAACATTACACTATCTGCTGGTCCCATGGTTTTGTTTTAAATGGAGACCTTGGCTATAACATTTCTCTATAGAAACATTTATGGCTGCAGTGATACAATGTCAGGGATTTGTTTCAAAGTATTCCAGGAGCGAGGCAAAGGGCCTTGGGAGTAGAAGGGACCCAGTAGTACATGCTGGTAGTTATGGAAGCTGGATAGGATGCTCATTACTGTCCTTCTCTACTTTTGTAGATGTTTAAAATTTTTCATAATTAAAAGGGGGAAAGTTGATTGTCATTGGAGTTATACAAGGAATAATCTCTGCCTTCTTTTTTGCTCTCTGTAATATACTGGTTGGGGTTTGGGGCACACATGCACACATGCCCAGTGTGTTCAAGCCACCGGGTCCAGGACTCCAACTGCACAGACAGTTATGTGGGATCCAGCTGCCTTAACCTCCGTGCCGCTGGCTGGCCCAGACATGTCTTCTTTATACGTAAGAAAAAGTTTAGGCTCCGGGTCGAATCTGAGCTTTGCAGTTATTTTACTTTCTCCAGTGCCTCAGTTTCTCTCTCTGTAAAGTGGGGTGATGGTAACAATAGTGGGGACTCTGGAGCTTGCTCAAGCGGGTGTGAGCGAAGCACTGAGCAGGCTGCCCGGCCCCGAGACAGTGCCCCATCAGCAAGAGCGCCCTCGTCTTCCACCAGCTCCTATGCTCAGAGGCTCTGGGCCCTCACTCCCACTGAGCTTTACTGAGCCGCTCCTGGGTGCTGGGCACCAACTGGGCCTCTGTGGCTTCCTCTTGCTCTGGTCACCATGGGCTGTTGTCCTAACTGTCCTGGCCACTGCTGGCCTTCGAGTCCCTCAGGAGCTGTCACCTTAGAAGTTCATAGCTCAACCCTCCCACATGTAGAATGAAACTCGTGCTTAGGGTTGGTGGTGAGAAGCTAATTGTCTCCCGCTCGGCTCCTCTGCTGTTCAGCTCTGCCAGCCTCCCTGCTCCCTCCTCGGCCTTCCCCAGAGCCCCAATTAGGAGAGGTTTCCAGCTGGCTGGTGCTCGAGGGCTCAGCGCCGTCCCCAGCACAGTGCCTCTGCCTTGGGTTTGCCCTCAGCCTTCCTGGGAGTGACAGGGCCGTGGCCAGGCTCGACCCTGCTCAGGAACGTCCCTCTGTGTTCTTGCAACATTGGTGGGACATTTTCCTGTAATTTCATCTCAAAACCTCCCTTTACAGCCTCTCCCAACATGTAGTAAGAACGACTGAGGCTGCTGGTTCTAGAAACGATTGTGGCTGTGGAGCAAGTGTGGACAGGGTGCAGAGGGGGACAGGGACCTTCGGAGTGCATTGCCCCGAGGTCACCAGATCCCAGATTCAAACCCAGGACCTGCGGTATTCGCCCTGTCTCCACTGCGATGGGGAGACTGCATTAGAAATGAAGTACACCCAGACAGGAGTTGCTCAGTACACACTTATGGAAAGACTGGCCCTCAGACACAGCAGGGACTTGTCCAGCAGCTACCAGGACTTTGCCCCAAGTCAGTCTGAGTCCGGGCCCTGTGCCCTTAGCCACACGGTGGGGTTGAGTCCAGCCCAAGGACACGTGGCCCAGTACAGCCACGACCGGTGGGTAAGAGGTAGATGCTTATAACCCAGTCTCACGGGAACGTCCCTGCATAGGCAGTGGGAGGCAGTGTCCACACCCCCATGGCCCACGTGTGGCCTTGGCCTGTCTCACCTGCCCTCCACCTGAGCCAAGGGTTTCAGAAACAAGCGGGTTCCCTCTGCCCCTCCTCCTCCCGCCCCAGCTCCCTCCGGGAACCTCAGGCGCCCGGAGCCGCGAGAGGCCCTCCGTACCTTGTAGCCCTGGTTGATGCCATTGATGAACTGGGGGCTGGGTGCGTTCCAGGTGAAGCGGATGGTCGTGGAATTGGTGGCTTCCGCGTGCACGTTGCCCGGAGGGACCGTGGGAACTAGAGGAAAGCAGGGAGATGGGGCCGGCCCCATCAGCTCAAAGAGAACGCCTCGGGTCTGCGGATTCTGCTCTGTCCACCCCCTGCCCCCCACCCCACAGCTCCTCCCTGCCGTGTAGACTCAAGATGCCCTCGAACTGGGTTTAATGCGACTCGCCTGAGCCGTCTCACTGGACACTGACAAATACATGGTGGACAGGAGCAGGCCGGGGGCGGTTTTCAGGAGCAGTGCTGAATGCCCACTGTTTCCTGGCCCACTGGGTGTGAAACTCCGCAGAGGGTCCCGAATCGCTGAAGCCTCTGCTCCTCGTGTCCACCCCACCTCCTCTTCCCCCAATCCTCCCACCCTGTGGGGTAGTTGGCCAGGGCCCCGATTCGGCCCTAGAGGCCCTCCCGAGGGCTGGCTCACAGGACCTGACAAGTACAGGACTCGCTGCGGACGGGCCTGACAGGCTCAGGGCTGGGAGCGGGGAGCCACGTCCCCACCCACCTCCCTGCAGCGTCCACTCGGTGACTTTGCTGCTGTAGACGCCCAGCCCGGCGCCGTTGTAGGCGGCCACCTCGATCTCGTAGTTGGTCCAGATGATGAGGTCCTCCAGGAGCAGGTTGTTGACGTCCGCGTCTGTGATGTTCTTAAACTGGTACCCGACCGGCAGCCCGGCCAGGCAGTACCTGGGGAGAGACATGCCTGGGTCTGGAGCCAGGGTGCTCCGCTCGGGGCCGGGAGAGCTGTGCGGCCGCGGCGTCCACGGGCACCGTCTGTGTGGCACTCCACGTCTGGGCCATCCCGCGGGGAGCCCGAGCACCTGTGGCTGCTGAGCACCTGGCACGTGCATCCTGTGTCCGAGGAACTGGGTTCGAGGTGGATTTATTTTTCATTCATTTATGTAGCTACAGGTGATGAGCATGCTTGGTTGGACTGCATGGGTCCAGGGGAAGTGTCTAGACCATTAAAAACATTTTTTTAAAATGTTTTTTGCCAGAGGGTGTGTGTGTTCACCAGAGAAAGAGAAAGAGAGAGACAGAGACAGAAAGGAGGGAAGTGAGAAATCACCCCTTCCCCAGGAGGATGGCCATGCCCAATCCCTTCACTCCTTCTCCTCCATGGTCTTCTCAGCATTCTGGGCACACACGCACATGTGCCTGGTGTGATTTTCAAGCCACTGGGTCTGGGACTTGAACTGCCATTGGCCATGTGGGAGTCTGGCCACCTTAACCACCACACCACCTGCTGGTCCTGGACCATTCTGTCTTGATGGGGGAGGAGGACACAGCAGGATGGCTAACAGGGATGCTGGGTTCCCGGAGAATATGCTGCTGGTCACAGCCCGGGTGGGGTCATTGGTAGGAGAGCAGTCCCCAGGGGTTGGGCTCATTTATTTCCTTTTTGTAATTGCTAGAGGGCACATGGCTGGTCAGAGAGAGAGAGGAAGAGATGAGAGAAAGAGAGAGAGAGAGAGAACCCCTTTCCCGATGGGACAGAGTCACGCCACGATCCCTTCTCCTCCACTTCTCTACCCTGATGGAATTTCGAGCACACAAGCACATGTGCCCGGCACACACTGGAGCCACTGGGGCTGGGATTCAAACCATGGTCAGCCATGTGGGATTCGGCTCCCGATGCATGGTGTTTAACTGCTGTGCTTCAGGCCGCCCTGGGCTCGTTTCCCTTCTCCCTCCAGACAGCGGCTCCCCACTCCGACAGCTGCTCACTGAGGGGCAGCGAGGATGCCTGGGCTGCCCGCTCCGGCCACTTCTACCTCCCCCAGGAAGACGAGCCCACGAGACTGAAAACGAGGTCATGCAAGCGCATTTTGGGGGTGTACACGGAGGGCGGATAATTCACGTGAGCTCCCTAGCACATACAAACCTCTGTCTAATTACCGACAGATCAGAGGCCCCAAGATAGTGTGGGGCACTGGGAAACCCTGCGGGGTCCTCCACCCCTGATGGCACAGTCATCTAAAGGACTTTTGGACACAGGGTTGCTGGGCCCTCCCCTGAGGTTCCTTGTCCAGTGTGCCTTCATGAGACGTGGGAATTGCATTTCTGCCTATCACAGGTGAGGCTGAGGCTGGCACAGGGACCACGCGGTGGGAACCCCCATCCTTCGGGATGAACCAAAAACCCACAAGAAAACGGGCAGCTCCTGGAGCAGCCAGGTCAGCAGCCGCACCTTCCCAACGGGGGGACTTGAACACTGCGTGGGCAGTCGCATGTAGGGACGAAGCGCATGCAGCCCGCCAGAACGCGGAACGCCGATGAGCCCTCCCGCCCACCTCCAATGGCTCGCTAATCAGAATTTATGAACACCACGTTTTAGTGCCCGAATGACTCTCTTTAGATTACTAGTGAAGCGTCCTTAGTCAAATGCAAAAATAGAAGCCAACATAACTGGGCCTCCTTTTCCAGCAAGGACCAAAAAAAGGACTTGCACATTTTTTTTTTAGATTTTTGCCATAGGGTGCTTGTGCTCACTGGAGAGAGACAGAGAGGGGGAAAATGCAAAACCACTCCCCAGGGAGGATGATCACGCTGCGATCCTTTCTCTTTCAGTCTCCTCTTCCCTCTTGGGTCTGGGCATGCACGCACACACGGCCAATGTGATTTTCAAGTTGCTGGGTCCGGGACTCAAATTGGGGTCGGCCATTTGAGAATTCAAAACCTTAACCCTGCCACCACCTGCTGGCCCCTGCGCTTTGGGATGAACTGTTGGCCCGTTAGCTTCTCCAGTCACGATCTCTCTGGAGAGGAATCTGGCCTGCAGTGGCATATTCTGGGCTTCCAGGTGGGTGGTCCCTGGGACAGCTGCCTTCCTGTGCAGCCCGGACCTGCAGCAGGCTCGCCCTGGCATGAGCCTTTAGGGAACTACGTCTCTTCTCTCTCAGCCATTTCTGCTGCCGTCCAAGGCTCTGGCTGCTGGAAGTCCTTCCGGATGTCTAACCTGAGTCCTTCCACCACCGTGCAGGCCTTTCTTGTCGCCGGGTCCTTGTGAGATCGGGAGGAGCTGCCCCTGTTCCCTAATCCACTCGCGACCCTCCCCACTCCCCCAAGGGTCTGGGCTGCCTCCGCCCCAGGGGTTGACGCCTACCTGATGATGTAGCCCTTGAGGAGGCCGTTCTGGTGGCTCTCGGGGGGCGGCTGCCACTGGATCATGATGGACTGGTTGGTGCGCCCGCTGGCGATGACATTCTGTGGCGGGGCTGTGGGTGGCTCCTCCGGGAGGGAGACCCTGGGCCGGGAAACACTGAGAATGGGTGGGCTGTCCTGCTCTTAGTCTGGGAGCAAATTCAGGACTTCAGTGGGAAGTGAGGAGGTCGACCCCTGCCCTCTGTCCCCGGATGATTCTGCACAATTGCCGTGTGCTCTGGGGCGAGTCACTTAGCCTCTCTGAGCTTGTGTCCATAAAAGAAGTATCACAGGGCTCCACGCACCTGCCTCACAAGGCAGGCTGAAGCTCGAATGATACATTATATACACGAGCCTTTTAAAGACACCGTAAGACACGTGGGTGTGTGCTGGCCCAGGGAGGGACATGGGCCTCAGTTTCCCACTTGTCAGAGGAGCTGCTGTCGAGGCTGATAGGGTCGTGAGTGGTTAAGTGCCTTAGAAGTAGGAGTGTTAAATATTTACTTTGGGGGACCGGCAGGTGGTGTGGTGGGTAAGGGCGCTGGACTCCCACATGGCCAACTATGGTTCGAGTCCTGGACCTGGTGGCTCACTTTCTCACTTTCCCCCTCTCTCTTTCTCTGTCTCTCTCTGGTCAAACTGGAAAATAATAATAAATAAAGTTAATAGAACAATTCTTTAAAGAAAATTCACTCCCTGTTGCCAGCTGGTGGGCCCTCAGAGTCCTCCTGTACCAACAAGCGGGCCCCTGGCTGGGGCAGGCGAGTGTGGTGTGCGGCTGAGAGTCAAGGGCGCCACCCCGCTTCCCGGAGCCAAGGATGACAACACCGCTTTCCCTGGCATGGCTGGGGAACACGGTGTCCTGCCGAAGTGTATTTTTTTTATAACTGATGTGTATCCATTAAAAACCAAAGTTCATTATTTTTGATGGATGTCTTTCCCTTGCTTTTGTTTATTTTGACGGTTTTGCTTTCTGATGGATGGCCTTCCGAGTACAGCACACCCCGTGTTTTTAGAGGCCGGAGTAGGGGTGAGATCACCTTTTCCTTGGTGACTCGGCTGTCAGTGAGGACCGTCAGCAGGA